GGTCTGGTATTGTTACTCATGAGCCTCCACCAATATACTTCCTTTTGGTTATCAGCCAGACTATATTAGCTTTAGAGAGGGTAGTTACTAAGCAGGCATATCAAAGACAGCTGTTACAAAAACAATCCCACCGAAAGGGGGTTGGAGGGGGTACACTCTCCCCTTGCATGGACAAACGTCCTCAGAAAGAGTGGGCTTAAATAAATGTCGAGTGCAAAAGTAGTGAGGCACACACCAGGGAACCCACATGGCAAAGGAGAAACTCCCTGTACCTGATTGCCGGAAGTTTTTTTCTCCCTTTGTAGAGTCCTCAGGAAATTCCCTTTAATTCAAGCACTCTACTGATCGGTGCTCCTGTGGAGTCCATAGCTGACATTTTTCCTGGCCCTGAGGGATCATGCTCCCTGAATTGATCTTTCCTGGGAGTATATAGTTAGTCCTTTACCTGTCTACCAACTCCTCACATAGATGCTTTCATCAGCAGCAACTGCTCCAAGGAACTGCTACCCTCCCCATAGGATGAGAACTCCAGCCACTACAACCTTTGGAGGTTTACAAGGTCATCGCCTCATCCAAGAGGCCAATTGCCTCTCAAGAGTCCTTCACTACAAAGCACAAAAATGTGGCTCAATGTTTTGCTGAAATCTAGGTGATTCTATCTCCATCTTTCATTCACTCTAACTGTCTGGTAACATTGAGAGAAGAGGAAACATAGTTGGTCTGGTGTAACCTATTATTAGTGAGATCATGAAGAATTTGTGTGGTCTCCACTTCTTTTCCTGGATGTTCACCAATTGTACACCAAATAATGATCTAGAACTTTGCCAGGAATTGTAGTCCACACCCCCTTCTCATACTTTGCAGTTTCCAATTTCTTTCTTTCTTTTTCTGCCTATCTTCCTTTCTTTTTTCTTTCCTCTCCCTCTTTCCCTTCTTTCTTTCCTTTTTGAAAATTGGGGCATTTGGTCTCTCTCCATTCTTAAGGCACCGTTTCATTTCTAGGACCTTCCAAATATCTCTACCAGTGACTCAGTGATCACCTTTAAAGCTCTTTCAGTACTTGTCAGTTCTCTTTCTGTACCATGACACCAGAGATGTGGATGACTTGACATCCTCACAAATACAGCAGTCAAAATGTGGAATGACCAGCTTTGAGAAGTAATGGTTTCCCCCTCACTATGATGGGGTTGGGATCTGGGTCCCAGAAAGGAAAAACCCTGGACTTTCCCACATGGTCAAATCTCTGGCGTTAACCTGAGGCTATAATCCCACTGACTGGCCTTTCATTGTGGCTACACCCAATCTCACCTCCATTCTCTTACCTCCCTATGCCCCCCCCCCCCAGCCATTTCCCACCCTTAATCCTAGCTAGGCTCCATCCTCCCTCGGCCAGGCGGCCAGGCAGTCCAGGTCCCTGGAATTCTATTACCTCATAGAGTTCTTGGCCACTCCTAGGTCCCTCCCACAGGTTTTCTGTATGTAAGGTCCATCTTGTCTCCACTAAGATGCTGAGATTCTTAAAATCTATCCACTGCTCAGGTTCCTAAAGTCTAGCCACTGCTTAGATTCTTATAATCCAACCACTGCCATGTTTAGACTCCTTAAAAGTCTGCCCAATATGACTGATGTTCTAATAAACCTTGTCTTTGGCTGAAAGAAGGCTTGGGTCGAATTCTTTCGGGCAGGACCTGTGTGTCGCAATTTTGGGGTCCCAGCACCCCTGAACCCCTAAACTACATCAACTAGGGACCTTCAAGCAAAAGCTGAATGGCCACTTGTCAAATACACAATAGAAGAGATTCTCACTTATTACTGGATGGACTTCTGAAGTTTGTTCCTACTCTAATAACCTGCAATTATGTGACTTGAACATGTCAAAGGCAATTGAGTTCTCTCTTCATTTTTTGTTCCATGTTTTGGGTTTTGCCTATTTATTCTCCATTTTTGCTTCACCCTTTCTGGTCAGAAGGATACTATCAGTAGCAGAGAAAACAGAAGTTAACTAGTCAAATCTACAAGCATTGATAAAATGCCCACTATGTGCTAGGCACTGTGTTAAGTGCTGAAGATACAAAGAAAGACACAAGATAGTCTCTGCCCTTGAGTTCAAAGTCTCATGGAGGAAACCACTATCAAACACTTAGGTACAAACAAGATATGTACACGATAAACTGAAGATAATTTGAGGGATAAGGCACTAAGATTAAGGGGGACCAGGAAAGGCTTCTTGCAGAAGATGAGACTTGAGCTGAGACTTGAAGGAAAGTTGGGTAGCTCAGAGGTGAGATGAAGAGGGAGACTTTTCCAGGGCCGGGGGACATCTTGTATAAGGAACAAGGAGGCCAGTGTGGCTGGACTTGAAGGAAGCCAGAGAAGCTAGGGGGCAGAGATAAGGAGGGAGAACATTCTGGGCTTGGAGGATAGCCAGAGAAAATGCCTGCCGTGAAGAGGGTGAGGGAGGGCATTGAGCAAAGGAAACTGTTAAGTAAAGGCACTGAGGCCTGATCTCAGGACTCTTTGGGAATGACAAGGAAGAATAGTCTGGTTTGGTCTGGTCTGCCCTGGCTGAGGTGGATAGAGGGTGAAGGGGAGTACAACGAGAAATCAGTCAATTAAAACAAGCATTTATTAAGCACTCACTGCAAGTCAGGCATTGTGATACTAAGCAGCGGAGACACATTAAAAACAAACAAATGGGAACAGCTAGATGTCAAAGTGGATAGAGCACCCCAATGGACTCAAGAGCTGAGTTCAAATCTGGCCTCAGACGCTTCACACTTACTAGCTATGTGACCCTGGGCAAGTCACTTCACCCATTGCCCAGAATAAACAAACAAAGAAGGAATCACTGCCCTGAAGAAACTTACATTGTATTGAGAGAGGAGAGGAAACCGTGTCTGCATACTGTTGTCTGTCCTTTGTTTCCGAAGAGGACCGATAACATCACCGGTGATGTCTTGACTCTTGCATGAATCGGATTTGAGTGAGACAACCTGGGATGGCCCTGAGTGCGGTGGACGACCTTGGCTGCTAGAGCTCCTTGGAGCCACAGGTGAGAGTTGAGTTCCAGATAGACAGCAAAGGTGGATGAGCAGCCCTGAAAAAGGCTGGACAGCCCTCACACCAGAGGTGCTGGTCCTCCCTGAACACCCCGTACATCCTCAAGATTTATATCAACCTAAGTCTCTCTAGGGTTACTTACTCATTTTCTACTAGAACTGAAACGTTGGGTCCCCAGAGGCTTAACTATAAAGGACTGGGGTTTTTCTACGGTCACTCACTAGCTTACACTAATGGGTGTGCTCCCCAAACCAATTGACATCAATCAATGTTTAACAGCTAGTATTTCTATAAGAGCTAACCTGTACATAGCAAAATACTTTACAAACATCTCATTTTATCCTCACAAACGTAGGTGTTTTTATTCCTATTTTACAGATGAGGGAAATTGTGGCAGACCATGGTTAGGTGACTTGTCCAAGATCACACAGCTAGTAAATTTCTGAAACCTGATTTGAACTCGGGTCTTCCTGTCTCCAGGTCAGAATAAATATCAAGGGTATTTACTGACAGGGCAGTTAGGTGGCACGGCTGTGCGTGGGGTCTGGAAGACTCCTTCAAGAGTTCAAATCCAGCCTCTGACACTTACTAACTGTGTGACTTACCCTGGGCAAGTCACTTCACCCTGTTTGCCTCGCTTTCCTCCTCTGTAAAATGAGTTGGAGAAGCAAATGGCAAACCACTCCAGCATCTTTGTCAAGAAAACCCCAAATGGGGTGATAAAGGGTCGAATGTGACTGAACAAAAAAAGCTTGCTGACAATGTATAGGTAGAACAGTAGTTACAAAAGCACTGCCCCAGTCAGAGGCATGCCCTCCCCTGGCACAAGTGCCAGGTTCCTGGGAAGGCTGGGCTCACCCTTAGGGCACGGGGTCGAAGGCCAGATTCCCAGTTCCTGGTTACTGGTCTTCTCCCTCCCCAGCTGCCCTGGTGGAGCGCCGAGCCCTCCTCTCCTCTCCCTTTCCAGCACAGCTGTTGCTCTCAGCCTCTGCCGGGAGCTCCCAGGGGTGGGTACAAGGGCGTTTCGTTCAGTCTTCAGGGAGATCGTTCGAAAGGGAGGAAGCCGCCGATCGCTCTGTCTGGCAGCCTCCCTGCCCGTCCTTGGTCAGCAGCACCCCTGCCCCTCCCGCTCACGTCCACAGGGGGCTGGCACAGCTCCGAAGGAGCCCCGGACCCTCTCGGCCGGGGCGGGGCTCGCCGAGGACCCCAGCACCCGGGGAAGACCCTCCAGGAGCCTCTTACGGGACCGCTGCCTCCTAGAGGAGCGAGCATCCCGAGGGTCCCGCCTCCTCGTTTTACAGAGGGGGAAACTGAGGCAGGCGAGGCTAACGCCCTGGCTCGGGGTCGCACAGCTACGAGGCAGGATTTGAACTCGGGGCTTCCCACCTCCACAGGTGGTGAGTCCCACTGCCCCGCAGCCTGAGCTACTTTGGGGAAACGGCTTCAGCTCGCACCGTGTCATCGGGGAGTGGGCTCTTCGGCCGTCCCTTCTCTACGGAGGTGAGGCGGGGAGACCTTGGACAAGTCACCTCCCCCTCTGGGACTCAGTTTCCTTTCCTGTAAAACGAAAGGCTTGGACGGGGCTCCTTCTCCTTTCAGACCTGGGAGCCTGCGGCTGACGGTCCAAAGCTCCCGACCGAGCTCCAGAGACATGG